TGTGGAAGACATGGTAGTTTTAATTATTAAAACGAGCACTAAACGATTTGAAGTGTATATACGTCTCGCTCGAAGCAGTGTTGTCAATTAAAATATTTTACATAATGCATGCGATGTTCATTTATCGCTAAATATTTATTGCTAAATATCTCCCACAGTTTATTTACAATACTTGGTTTGAAAGGACAACATTGAAATTATCTTTAGCATTTGAATAGAAAATTGGACGAACTCTAGTTTTTGAATTGCGTCAGCACATATCATTAAACCATATCAATCCAAAGACAATTGAATGTTGATATAGCCTGTTGTAAAAAAATTCTGATATTTCATTGATTGGAAAACGGCTACTGAAAAGGTATTTTATATATATATATATATATATATAGTTAGATATCGCTCTATGGCCTTTAGGTCATATTGAGCGCTTTACAGGATGAGCCATGCCGCTTACGCATTGCGTATTGCGCATTTATATATATATATATATATATATATATATATATATATATATATATATATATATATATATATATATATATATATATATATATATATATATATGCACCGATAAAGGGGCTATAGGCACCGATAAAGCCCAATCACGAGGTTTATAAATGACTTCTAAAATTCACCTTTTGTTTTGGGTCCCAATGAAATAATAAGAAATGCCAACTACAATAGTTCTATTGTTTTACGATTCTTCCCTTCATTGATCAGCAAGCAAATTAATGACTAGATTAATTGTCAAGTCATACAAGTCGTTAAACGGATTTTTCAAATGGAAATTTGAACATATTTGACTTGTTTTGTTAATGAGTCGGTTTCGAAGCGCTCGAAGTGCTGAAGAGGAGCAAACGTAGCTCGAAAGAGCGATACCGCCAAGTACAAGATACGTGACAAAGTGGGCTTTGACGATTTTTGATTCCTGGAGAGCTGCTAGAAGGTTAAAGAAGTGAAGATCGACGACGCTGGTCATGAAACTGATGATATTGGCCCAATCCAGACATTAACTACATCGCTGGCGGAGATGAATGAAGCGTCTTTAGAATTTTAGTTGAGCAAGTTTGTTGGGTTTAAACAGTTTAAAGTGGTGTGTGATCAAAATGAAAGGGTTGTTAATCCCGTGTTTAACAATTGTAACATTAATTTTAATTTCGGAAAATAAAGTATTTATTGATTTCTCGAATATTTGAGTTTTTATTAGGAACAGATTAATAAACATTTTGTTAAAGAATGCTTTATAAAGGTACATGTACCTTTATCATAAAGGTACATGTGGTCTATATATGAATTTTAAATCAGCACACACCGATCTATATCACGGTATATAGGGGTCATCATGTGACGAGATTTTAAGAAATTAATTGGCTAATTAGCTCATGAATTATTCATGAATTTTAGAAATATATATATATATATATATATATATATATATATATATATATATATATATATATATATATATATATATATATATATATATATATATATATTGATTTTACATGATACAATGTTGAATTTTGAATATCTCTCATAGTTTATGCTAATATACTTACAATACTTGATTTGCCAAGGCATCATGGGAGGTAAGAGATTATCTTTAACATCTGAAAAGAAAATTGGACAAACTGTTTTGAATTACATCAGTCCAACTATACATACACTAATATCAATATAGCCAGTTGGGAAGTACTTCTGCTATTGTGTATATAGCTATATTGCTTAAAAATAGTTACTATATAGTTACTACAAAAGGGTCGTGATATTTCTAATATTAAAATCGAAAAGGTAAATAGCAGTTTAAAAACAGGCACTCGTAAACAAATATATAAATAATACCACAACAATGAACTGCATGCCCACATGCATGGCCACACAGCATGTGTCTTGAATAATTTGGTCTTCGAACTTTCTAGTATGATCAGTACAGGCTGTACAGCAAGTATATGGAGACAAGTTTCAGCTTGTAATAAATACTGAATAATCCATAAAGATCATGACTAAATCTTGTATCTTATAGACAAGAGCTATTTCTTCCCAGCAGGAAAGAAGTTTAGAAATATTTGAAAAGTTTAAAATTTCGGCATAATTGAAAAGCTTTAGAAATATATACATGATCACAGTTAATAGAATTAGGCAACGTTCATTTATCACGTCTGAATATCGCCCACGGTTTACTTAAAATATTTAGTTGGTTTCAAAAGACAACGTGGGAGGTAGCAGATGATCTTTCACCAGTTGATGATAGAAACTCGAGAAACTGTTCTTTAAATTCGTCACTATCTTCGTCACTGCATAACCTAACTTCGTCACTCCATAGGAAACTTCCTGACGTCACAGTCTAAACCTAGTTGCAATCTGTGACGTCACGCATATTGCCAAAGTTCTCACATCTCTCATTTGTTGTTTCGCTATATTTTCCGCTTTAAAAGAGTAATATTGAAGCATAAACTGATCTAATTGTTTTAAAAACATGCCTAAGCCACGACAAAGTATTCAAGGTAAATGTTTTTCGTCTTTGTTTTGTATTTTTTTTACATTTGTAGCTACGAAACTTGGCGTCACCAATTTTAACGAAATTTGCGATGCATTTTTCACGGTTTAGTGCTTGAAATATTTGCTAAAATTGACTGGAAATACTTAGAGATTTCATCGTAGAATAGCCTAGTTATATTTATTTGCTCTTTGACTAAAATGTTTAGCTGTATTATTGCCAAACATGCCATTTTTAAGAATTTGGTTTGCAACTATGTTTCAACGCCATCATCCCATTGAAAACATTGGGTCACGTCAGCTAGTTTCCTATCCATGTATTTTATTATCCATGCTTCAATTAATTAAGGTTGTCAACGAGCAAAGCGGAAAAGTCGAATACGAGCGCGAAAGGCTGCTGGGAATCGCTATGATCGCGTTCATTAATTTGTTAACGATTCCCAGCAGCCTTTCGCGCTCGTATTTGACTTTTCCGTTTTGCTCGTGGAGAACCTTAATTGAAATAGCTGTATACATGCAACATTAATGGATATAACCGTGCAGTTGTGTAATATTTATGAAACGCCAAGTTTAAAGTTGTGTGACCAAGAAAAAACTAGGATTGGTTAAGCAGATCCTCGTGAATTTCTAATGAGTATACATGGTGAAAATTTTTAAAACGATGTATGGTAGTGCTGTCATATAAACGAACAAGAAAACAGAGACGACTTTAATACAAAGTTTAGATTTTAAAATATTCGCAAAGGAATGCCTTCGAACCCCCCCCCCCCGTTTAACAGTAGGACTTGAGTTGAAACCATCCCTCGCATTATTACAGAGTTAATGCACAATAATGACAAAGTCACAAAACATATTACAATGATACATACAAGGATTTTTCCGGCACTAATAGTCAATATAACTTCCGCGTAAAGTTGTACCGGTTCATATCGTAGTGAAAGTAGAGTTTGTGGTTCTGATAAATTATGGGCTCAAAGATAATCGATTTATATTCTGATAAAGGATTATTAAATGGGAAAATTAAATCAAAATAAATATGAAGAAAGTTTAGCAATAACGTGGAAGGAACAGTTTTATAAGTTACGTAAGAAATTTTGTTTTGAATTGAAATTTACATTGCATGCTTTATATAGCCACAAAATGTTTTAGGTCTGAGCCTAGTTTGAACAATGGACACTGAAATGTCTCTTTCAACCCGAAATTTCAACTCAAAGTTTCAGTCGTCCCAGTCCCACTCAAAGTTTCAGTCGTCCCAGAAACGAAACGCGGCCATTGTTGGGGAATGCAATTAAGTCAGACCTGTACATCATGGATTCTAAAAATTATATGCAAAACAATAATTTCAAGTTTCAAATATTGTATGATATGTACATCATTCAGCGGATAAGGGATTGGGAACGAGTTAGTTTCTCTTTATGTGATAAAGCGCAGAAGGCCTGTGTACGAGGTTGTATATGTGAGTTTTTAAAGTGGGACACTAGGACAGTTCATCACATGGCGGTGAATGCTGAAAGGAAAGATTGTTAACACAGTGTAACTAAATTGTTCACTATATGTATTGATCTTATGTTTGGTGACAAATACATGTACTGGAAACATTTAGCGTCATTTGTTTACTCTCATAATTGTCAATACACTTGAAATTGACCGCCATGCATGTGTAGCATAAAATACTTGACTGAAACCTATCTATACAGCGTTCAAGACTGAAGAAAGCAAAGTCAAAATTTAAGTTATTCACTTCATTTCAATGTTTCTACTTTATTGTTTTCTTCAATTGAAATATATACATTGAAATTAAACCCATTGTTATTGGCAACCTAAGACTAATTGTAATGCAAAATTAAATGTTCTATATTAGCATAATACTATGCTTGAAAGACCTTAGTTTGACATTACTAATTGCTTTGATCTCTTGAGCACTTTCCTTGCAATATAGTAATTCCTAGTATATGAGTACATTATCTATGTTCAATTCCGAAGGATACATTGTTGTGCTGTAAAGCCTACTAATAGTTATATACTACTTATCTACATTGTTAAATTATGAACGTCTCAACTTCAATTCATATTTCTAGTTTAAACTAAAGGGCATACAAAATTATCATTTTAAACTGCTTACACTCTCTGGGGCTAGATGTAAAACGCTTTGCGAAGCTATATACATGCATGTACGGTACAGAGCTAGTAATTTGTTTAATTATTCTCACTGCTATACCCATGTTCTCCAGTCACTGGATCATTGTTCCCAAGTATTTTGAGGACGTATTTACTATTTACACACAACGTAAAGTATCTCCTTAAATAAAGGTGATGCTATTTTGCCGTACAACAGCAACATGACCACTTGGATGAGATATGATGAATGCAAAGAATAAAGAATGACCTGCCTTACAAAAAAACGTTGAGCTCTCCAGCTCGCCTGTCTCAGTGTAACAAACAAGGAAATATGACCTTTTTAAACTCACACGGGTTAAGACAATTATTTTACGAATGACATGGTGAAATGCCAACCCAAGAACCTCGTGATCTTCTGGCAATTTTATTGTCGACTTCCGATTTCCTTCCTCGGAGTAGAAGTGAACAGCCGTTCCATTACGTGAGGATATCATGATTTCATCTTTATTTGAAATACCCAAACTGGCGCCAAAGATGTGTGGTTTAAACTTGTGTTTCAATTGTCCAACATTATCACAGACATAGAGATAATCGCCTTTCATCATGATGATATTATTGTTTCTGTTTATAGCGATCTTCACTGCTTTATAACCTAAACTTCTACCCTGAAGGAAATCAAGTATGTAATCGTGTTTTGCACTATAATTTTCATCCAGCACACTCAGCACGTAACGTTCCACGTCGCTATTTTCTGTACGTGTTTTAAGCCATCTAACAATATAAGCGTTGTTATTCTTATCAAAAGCGAGTTCTGCGAGACTTTGGTCGATAACTTTACCTTCTCCAGAATCTGGTAATTTAACCACTTTGCTTTCTGTTGTTCTCGAAATCACCCTTAAAAGGCCAGCTGGTTCCAGCAATACAACCACATTCCCATGACTGTCTACAGCAGATAAAGTTGGATATATTCTTGCACTAGGTATTAACTGCTGGGGAGGTTGACCCAATTCATCGCCGCCCAAAGACTTTCTTGTCAAAACTTTCTGCCAATCTAATATTGGGTTAAAACTGCGATCAGTAAGTTCAATGCCAGGCCATGTTACCCTGTCAGCAAGTGTTTCACTGAATTTGAATTTAAGATTAAACAAAATATAGTTGATCAGCATCACCGATTTTACGTTTTTTGCACGTTCTGCTTTACCCAACCACGACTTGACTCCGCCATTGAGATAAACGTAGAACATCTCACGGATAGCTGGTAAGCTATGTAGATCTTGAAGAAACGACAGACACCCTGTGATGGCGGTTTGAGGACTATCGAGACATTCCAGTATCTCAGAAACAATACGTAGTTTGGCGGCGAAGATTCGTTCGTTAATGTTTAATGCCTCATTGCAGAAAGCGTAGGTTGCGCTCTTACGGGCTTCTTTAAACCTCTCTTTAGCTGATTCAAATTCTTTATCAGAGTTTACTACCATCTTTTCAATGGCGTGCGAAAGTTCTAAGGCTTCGCTCAAGATTCCAGACTCGACACCGCTCGACATTCTTGATGTTTCACCACGATCTTGTTCAGTTGGGTGGATCACAGCTTTCTGCTCCAGCTTTGATTTATCAAGAGAAACGTAGAGTAAATCTACTCCTTCTTTCAGGAATCGGGAGCTGCTGAGAAGATCTTTGCGTGAAAGACCGTCAAGTTTCGTCCTGATGTCATTCAATTCTCTCACGACGAGCTCGCGAATTTTTGCATTAGTAACATCGCCGTCCTTCAGTTTTGCCGCAGTCGAGTCCCGAGCTTTGTTCCACAACAAGCCTACGGTTGAGCTTAAAATACTCGTAACAATGAAAGTCATATTTAAATTCAACACTACGATACTGCTTGCAATTGCACAAGATACAGAGTTTGGAATATGTCCCAACGCATTCGCGCATGAAATATATAAGAATGATGTAATACCTTAGCTATGTAGTTCCTGTCACATGACCGCTCTGACTAATGCATGAAATTTCGTGTTCAAAAACACTGAATTTCATTTTTAGTAGCTGGTACAGTTATTAAACACACTGATGGTGGCTTTATATCTAAGAAATTTTACATGCTATTTAATTAAAGGTAAATACTAATCCTTCAAACGTGAAAAATATCGTGTGTCAACTTGTACCGTGGTACATGTAACCTAATTAACATATGTCGCGCTCTAAGAAATACCACGGCGACGATAGGCTGACGCAATATATCCGTTCTGGAAGCGAAATAAGTTTCAAGTCTGGTGTATCTATAGTTATAAATATATTAAACTATTGCCTTTTTGTCGGTTAATCATCAGTCTAAATTCTTAAATCTCAAACTAAAACCTGAAGTGATATGTCTGAATGAATACAATACGTGCACGCCTACGCCCATGAAATATAATATGACAAAGATTTGCGTGCAATCTCATGACATGTTGTTGTTTCTCAGTTCCTGTCACATGCAGATTGTTGACAAAAGAAATATTTTGCCAAAAGCAGTTACACTCTATTTTTCCTTTGCAGCTAGTAGTTTTCAGTTAAGACTTTATAACGTTATGGTTGTCTCTTGGAAAATCTTACTTATTGAAGACGAATTTTTCATGAAGAACCTACTAAAAATTATCGAACTTGAAAAATACCATGGCAACAACTAGCTGCTGACGCAATACTCAATATTCCTTGAATGGTATTAATTAAAAAACAATCAAAAGGTCGTCTGAAAATAACTAATTGGAATTGACGTATATATAATATACACATCTGGGTAACTGCTCCCTAACTCTATGTCCCAAAGATAAATCTTCAAAATTACAACGCTGTTTACTACCGGCTATATTAAAAGCCCTTGAATTTCATCTTTCAGATTCTGCATGGTCTTTAGTGAATCAAAAATTGAGGTGAATGGTTATGAAGATGAGCAATCATACAGAAGGAAAATCAACTACGACAGGGGGACATGATTTGTGGAATTTAGCCTTATTTTGAATCAAATCTTGAAGTACGTTTCGCGCGACATGTTGTGCTATGCATTATTCAGTTATGCAGGTTTATTAGCACAACATGAGCAGTTGGCATGGCTAGTTTCGCCACTGTGATTTACCCTACCTTTTATGTGATCAAGTTGCCAACGGATTCCTCTTTTGGTATTTCTTCATCAAATTTTCATAACAGGAGGAAATGCAGGCCATTTGTTGGCAAAACAGCAACATAAACACTTGTAGACGTCACAGATGAAATACATGCCCTGCAAAGAAATAAAGTTCTATTTACTATAGGAAGATAAAGTTATTAAAATGTTAGGTGATAGAAAGCGGGCGTAATTTGGGTTAAGACAAAGGATACATTCAATGAATGTTTGGATTTATCGAGTTTTGGGTTGAGTTTTTGTCGTCTGCCGTGGGCGAAATTCTAAAACTTCAGTTGATTGGGATGCAACTACCTGGAAAATTACCAGGAGAACTTCAACGTTTCGAGCGAAGCCCCTTTGTCGAGAAGTTAGTGAAATTCTAAACCATAATCCCCAACCTAACTGACTAAAGTAAATCTATTCGCTAAAGCGGCCATTGTTGAGGAATACAAGTCAGACCTGTGCATCATGGATTCTAAAAATTATACTTCAAAACTTCAAACTTTAATTTCAAGTCTAAAGTTCGCAAAAATAAAATGATTTGAACTGAAATAATTGAAGATAATGTATGATATATGGACATCATTCAACGGATAAGGAATTGGGAACGAGTTAGTAGTTTATGTGATAAAGTGCAGAAAGCCTGGGTACGAGGCTGTGTCATTGAACTATAAGTAAACGGCAATTGCTAGATAGTATACTTCAAAATAAGGTTT